AGAGTATTTGCTGCGCAGTGTTCTCCAGTTTGTTTTCATATTAAGAAGCCACCCTGGTAATCATCTCCTGTTGCTGTATAGAAGGATTCCTCAACTAAATCTTTTACCATATGCCAGCATCCTTTGTTTAGCAAAACACACTCATGTTCAAGATGCCCATGGAAGATAGCATGTAGTATTGTAAATCCTTTCGGGAACTTCCCTTCCCTTCCATCTCTGTCTATCTGCCTTCTTTTCTCCTCATACCCTCTCTCCATCCCCACTCCACTTTTCTGCCAAAGTTTCATGAAATTTAGTTTAGTGAATTCATAACAGATATCTGTATCAATGACATGCTGTCTATACACAAACAGGCTTTTAAGTCCTTCCTCCTTTTTTTTTTTACCTACAGGCCTTTTCTTTGTAATAATAGGTAGCATGAACCTCGTCTTCTGATGCCCCTCCTGTCTTCACAGTGCATGATCTAGGCTTACAGGTGTGGTCTACACCTAGATTATGTACAAGATCAATCGCAATATGGAAGCTATGGAAGTTATTGTTTAGGAAACTGTATTGATTAAGAAATAATGGGAAAGTGTAGAAAAATGTAGAAATGATTAATATGGGCATGACTTTTCCTCTGACTCTCTTTAGTTAGCATTATCTTGAATCTATAGGAATATATTAATTTTAAGTATATGGAAAATTATACAATTTTGAGTTTTTCTTTTGCCACTTTTTACTTTCTTTGCCCTTTAAAAATCTGTAATGGACATTTTATTGATTTGTTTTTAATTATAAAGAAGACATTACTTTTAAATATGTATAATGTTTAACCTACTAATTTTATTTCTGTAAATAGGAAATGATTTCAAATGTGAAAAATGGTTACAACATTGTTATAAGTGAATACTTATTTAAGCAAGAATTTCATCAAAGCATCTATCTGTGTTGACTAAGGCCTATATGACTGAATCATTTGGAAGGTATTTTAAGGAATTGTTGTGCTGATAATAGTTCCTAAAATTTTGAGTACCATTATGTATATATACTACACACTATTCTCAAACCTTTAAATGTGTTCTTAGTTTCCATTCGAAGAATAACTCAATGAAGGAGGCATGTCTGTTTAGTTTTATAGGTCTGAAAATTAAAGTATTGAAAAATAAGGGAATGTGCACAGTGGAATGTTTCCAGTGACAGACAAAACATACTTCCTTTGTCCATGTTCATATATTGTAACAGAAGGATTGTGAAGATATTCAGAAAAATGACACCTGGGGTCGACAAATGGTGGAAAAGCAGAAAAGGACTGAAGTTGAGAAAGTAGCACATGCTATGGAGGTGGTATTATCACAATGTATAATAACCATTGGCGGAAGGGCACAATAGGAGGGGGAGTGCTGTGATGTTATTGACATAGCTCTCTCTTAGACTGAGCGCTGTTCTCTGAGAGCACCGCTGGTGCATTTTCTATGGTCAACCCTCTCAATATTTGGGAAAACGAGCGCTTCTGTCCTGAAAGTGGATCTGTGGAAGGCACAGACCATACATTGCCAACACTATTATTACTGTTCCTCCATATTAGGTAAGATACAGGTGTTGATAATTGTACATATGTGCACATACCTATGAATGTTTGTAATCTAACCTATAAGGTCATGTGAGATATATAGATATGTGAGTGTACACACTGACATGGGTAACTGTACACGTAAGGGCACACACACATATATAAAATTAAAAGAATGGACCCTTTCATAGTAGAAAACGATCCATTTTTTTTTCTAAATTAGATTGCCTCTTCTGTGAATGCTGTTCTGTTAGAATTTCCGTCTGTCATGAGGGTTGAACACAATTTCCAAAAAGGTTTTTGTCCTAATGATACATATCAGGGCTTCTAAGACAGAAGTCACGCCAATGCCCAAAAGCCTCCAATTTGAGAAGACTCTTCACTTTATATTTGAAGAAGGGGGATAAGTACAGTCATGTCAAGTACTTCTAATGAATGTACCATGGACGTCTCACATAATAAAATATAACTTTCTATTATTATTGAAGTTCTGTGGCTAGAGGATTCTCTTTCTGCGACAAACTTCACAGATGTAACACACCCATACAGTTAGCTCACGGGAAGGACTAAAGCGTATGTAATTGGCTTTCAGCTAACAGAGTGGAAAATTCAGCTTCCATTTGCCCATCTTTGCATTCAGTTTCCCTTTGAAAAAGTGGAGAGAATCAAGAGCAGAGAAGTAGTAGGAAGAACCCGTAACCAGGGAGGAGGCTAAACTCATGGAGATGGATGATGAGCACGCCTGCTTCTGGGTGTGTCGAGAGTACAATTTAGCTGAGCCTCTGGGCAGCTCTCAATATTCCTGACTGACTCCAAGATGCCAGTTTCCGATTGCCTCAGGCGATGACGGAGATCATTTCCACAAATATAAACTGGTCTTTTACCATTTTCTCCTCTTTGCTCTGAGCTCTCTCTTGTGTGCTCTGCTCCGGAGAGACCCAGTATTAATTTGACAACATCACTTTAGGCACATTTCCCCTGGATTCTTCTTGGTGTTTTCAAAGCTAATATTTCTTTCTAATGCAATTTATTTCCTCTGAATTGTCGCTAGGCTTTACACATCTGATGGGGAATTCAAGAAAGTAGGCTAGGACTTATTGATTTGACCTATCGCGACAATTCTTAAGTTGTAACGTAGAGGGACATGTGAGCTGAGAACATAAATGGCTTAAATTCGTATTCTTGGAGAGAAACTTATACTTTCAAACAACCAGCTTCTAATTATTTTAAAGGATTTTTATGTTTAGAGATTATTTTTATTATTTTAGAAGTTGCGAAGAAATTAGTTTTAACTTATGGCAACTGAAAATTGTGCAGCAGACATTTGAACCTGAGCTCTGTCAAGCGAGTCCACCTCTGCTAGATAAGCACTCATTATGGTAGACCAAGAGTTAGTGCCACAAACGCAAAGGGGCTGAGAGCCTGATCTCTGTTTTGGTGGTCACAGGTGGTATATGAATCAATGGGCTCCCAAGGCAGTCTGGCTTTAAAAGTAGTGAGAAGTCGCTGCTGCCGTTACTAGGGCTCTGTCTTTGGTGCACATAGGAAGGTTGTACTTTCCTCCTTTTTTCCCTTGGAGTCAGGTGTCTTCTGGTCTTGGCTGATGATTTCTGAGTAGGAGCAATGGTATTGTTTATGGCTCAGACTACTTAGTAGCTGGTGTGGGATTTCTAGTTCTTTCCCTCTGCCATAGTGGGCAGCAACCTTCTAGATAGTGAATGCTTTGAGCCAGAGACCACAGACGGAGAAAATGCAGGGCTGGTAGCATCTATGAAAACAGCTCCAGCGCACCATTGCTCATCACAGCTGCTGGGTGGTGGCCGCTGTCGCAGTGTGTGACGAAGGTCACAGCACAGCTGACTGCTGTCCGCCTAGCATCTGTATGCACTCAGACTTGAAGCAAGGTTTTGGTCTGCATCTTTAATCTGGGGTTCCTACTTTTGCAGCATTTCTGTGAATTAACCTGGCATCTTTTTAGTGAACTCCTTCATGGCTAAGACAATGAAAGCCTGCACAAGTCTGTCCAATTCAATAACCCAGATGCTCAGATTCCTTGTGCGTCCTGTTATGAGTTTCTTTCTGTAAATGGACGGTATTTTTAAACGCTAAGCCTCTTCTTGAATGTAATGAATTTTTATAAATGTGCTAAACGTATGGAAGATGTGGAGGCACTTCCCTCTACATTTATGACTTTCAAGTTCCAAGGGTTTATCACAGTTCTAATGTAATAATATTTGATGAATAAACATATATTCAGCTCCGTTTTCCTTAATTATGCTATTAACCTCATAATGTCTCTCCTTAACCTATGCTGTACGATTGAACCATCCTGATCTCTTTAAAGCAACCGCTACAGAAAAACATCCAGAATGGTTCTCTGAGAATCCTAGAGTAGTTTTAGGAACTGAAAATCAAATCTGTCCATTGTCTGTCCTCACCTCATGCTGGTCTGGAATTTGCAAACTGGATGGCTGAACTCCTAAATTGCTGAACTGTCTGGCTCTGGGGGCGGGGTGGAGCAAAATTTAGGCTACATGATTTACCATGACCCTTCTGAATGTGAAGCTCTCTATGAGCAATTCAGAAGCCATTTATCAATAAATACTTTCTTATTTTGTCCCTCTTTTATGTCTAAGTGACAGCACCTCCTTGGTCCAGGGTGCATGATGGACATTTGGCATTTGAGACTCTTTGTTCTTAAGACTTGGGGCTGTGTTTTTCATGGTAGGGTCTCCAGCAGCATCCTTGGCCTCTTCCCCACTAGATGCCAGTACTCTCCTCCAGGTTGTGACGGCCACACATGTCCTAAGACATAGTAAAAACCCCGAGGGCGCCAGAACATCAGCGAATCCCCATTTGCACGGCATACTTTCTGAAAGAGCTGTTGTTCTTCTTGAGAATTTTGCTCTGAGATGCATTTTTTGAATTGTTTTTGGATAATAAAAAAATATGTGAATGTTAATTCCACCTAAGAAAATAGCAGCAATCTTTCTTTTTAATCACCACCAAGCCTTTTTCATTACAGGGATGTAGTCATGGGCTCCATATAAACATTTACAGTTTCAGGGCAGGACCATCACCTCATCTGTCTCCATTTCAAACACTGGCAGTCAACTCGCTTTTTATAGATTCTTAACACTTTCAAAGTACTCGCAATCCCAAGCAATAGGGTGAGCTAAGTCTCTTTTTAATTTTTCTGCTTTCAGAAAAGGATTGAAAACCCTGTATTCTGACCAAGAAGCTTAAAATGAGTCCATGGGTTCTTGCTGTGGACAGCAAAAAGAATTAGCTTTTATTATTTCGTGTATTTAGCGATCCCAACACTGTTGGTGATAAAAATTCTCTGTTGTCAGAAGAAGTTATTTATTACCCTTCCCTGTTCTTACTCTGGTACCTTTGACCTGGAAGCCACTGGTAATCAAACTGAAATAGCTAGCAAGGGCTCAGACTGACAGCTGACAGATGTGCATGGTGTGGCGTGTGTCTCTGTGTGTGTGTGTGTTGTGTGTGTGTGTATGTCTGCATACATCTCATTTCTTTTTGAATTTTGCTCATTTATTTTTTTTTGATGCGGGAGACAGACATCCACCCTGATAATCTTCCCCGATAACCTGTCCCTGGATATTGACTTGTTCCCCATGATAAACTGAGGAGGAGGCTGAGTCAGATCGAGAAGAAACGAAATAGAGTCCGTCGAGAAGAAAATGAGCCAGGAGTCAAGAGGTGAGAGAGAGGCTGCTGCTCAGTGGTGCAGGATCATTTGATCAATGCTGGGAAAATGCAGAGGGAAACAGCAGGCAGCCCAGTTGTTTAGTACTCTAGCCACAAACCCGTCAGACGGCGGCTGTCTGTGAAATGATTAGCCATCTCAGTGTTGAGTGGGTAATGGTGGAGTGGGAGAATCAGGAGATGTGAATGAACCCAAACAGCTCAGGTCACAAGACAGTTGTGTGCAAAGATGCTATTCGGCCTGCCATCTGCTCGTCCCAAATGAAGTTGGAGACTGGGATTTTAAGATCTTCGACTTCTACATCACCCTTGCCAACGCTGGGCATTATTTTTAGAACAATGTAGTATTTTTAGACGGAAGGAAACATGTAGACAAAACACGTTAGTTTCCCCCAAAGAGTGTGAATGGAAAGGCTGAAGGAGAAAGAGGAGGAGAGGAGAAGGCGAAGCTTGCTGGGAAGAGAGCTCGGAGGCAGCAGAACCTTGACTGACTAGCATCTGGCCCTAGGTATGCTGTGGATTAGCGCACCATTACCATTTAAAAGTGCTATTTGCTTTGACTCAAGGCAGGCTTGGAAACATGCTGTAGCTAAATTTACTATTTTCCTCTGTCGAACTTAAAAAGAGCGGCTTTGTTTTGGTTTCTTCTGAGTTTTGAAATGTTTTCCGCATCCGTCTGAGGACCGGCTTTACACAGCAGGTGTTAAGGCTCCAGCGAGGTCTGTTGGACAAATGATTCATAAATATGTGCTCCCATGCTGTACAATGGTTGACTAGAAGCACACAGATGGAGCCGCCCTATTCTATTGAGGAAGTGGTATGTGTTTTTGTAAAAACTGTGATACACATGGTTTTTAGCCAAGGAGCCAGACTCTGAGAAAGTTTTTTTGGAATAATTTACTTACGTTGTACTGATTTGTAGAGGGGAAGTGGGATGTAAATATAGCCTGACTGCGTATTACAGGAGGGCCTGGGAGGGTCTTATAATACAGGAAAATCGAGACGTATCTAGGGAATTTCGGCAAGAATATAGATAAGCTGGTTTTGCTGATGTGTGAGCTATTTCTTTTTTATAGTAATGTTCAGAATTAAGCTTGATTAAGTAGCAGAGGAGGCTATGGTTTAAAACTAACAGAAGGGGAATGAACACTGACTTTGGATTCCGACACATTACCTAGGGTTACAAATGTAGCACTGTGAGCAGGGAGCATCATTATCTCCGGCCCCAGGATGCATCTGTTTCACATTCCCTGGACCAGTTCAACAGGATGTGACCCTGCTCCACAGCTCACCTGGAGGCATCCCCCCCTCACCCCACTCCTTGGTCCACACACTTTGTTTGGTATTCAATCCTCACGTAAGCATTCACAGGGATGGACCCTGGTGAAAAGACCTAGTGGGCTAATTGGTGAAGGGCTTTGACTTTGAGAAGGGTTGTTTCAGACCTCCTTCACAACACAAAGGATCACACTGAATCCTGGACTAGAATCTTATCTGCACTGTGTTAGCAAAAGACAGACATCAGCAGAGAAATTCACGGAGGGTTCAAAGAGGCAGGAGGAGAGGCAGGTGTGGAGGGAAGGCAAGCGACGTGTGTTTATTCTCATTCTTCTTAATGAAAAGGCTGTGAAATCATCTGCCATAGAGGGAGCCACGAATGAAAGGCACTGCCATGGTAGTTTCCTGAGTAACATATTGTTTGATCGCTTGTCTTCTTTTTTCTTTTTCTTTTTGGTTAATTGTACTGCTTCTTAGTTAATTGTGTTCTGTTAGCTGGAAAGGAAGGGCCAACAGAGGGAGAAAGCATGCTTCCCACTGAGCACAGGTGAAGGCAAGCCTTTGATTAGGGACTATGGCTGTAACCTAAGTATTTGTCACTATTTTTGCCTTGCTTACTGGATTCATAATTTCCGTGAAAATGGCTAGTAGGTATACAACTGCTGAGTTCCTCAGCTAGCCACTTGGTGCTTTGGAAAGCTCTAGTTCAGTGAATTCTGGAAATGCCTCTTACATCCTCCTTGCGTCTAACTTCCTAGTTCCGCTACCACTATGATTATCTACTTAAACAACATGGCTCCTTGTGATTTACATTGATTCAAAGTAGTGGGACCTTATTTTGATTGTCATTGGTAGGATTTAACATATTCATGTTAATTATTTCATTTTAGTTGGTCTTTATATGAAGGTGATAGAACCCTGTTAGATGTTTTGTATGTGAAACAAATACTTACATGCAGGTATATACCTGGAAGGGAAAGAAGGAAAGATAGGAGAGAGGAAGGGAAGGGGAGAGAACGAAGGGGGAGGGAGGTGAGAGAATGGGAGGGAAAGAGAGAGGATGAGAGGGAGGGAGGAGGGGAGGGGGAGGGAGGAGAGAGAATCTGAGAGAGGGAGTGGAAAGAATGAGGGGGGGGAGGGAAAGAGGAAAGAGGCAGGGAGGGTAGGAAGAAGGGAGAGAGGAGCAGGAAGAATTCTAATTTTGGGGGGAGGGCGATGGAACATTCATACATTGCTCCTGGTTTAGTAAATTTAATACTTTATTTTAAAAGTGTCTGATTTCAAAAACTGATACATATTAGAATAGAAATCAGACTGAACAGAAAATAGATGCTTCTTTACTATATTTCTTTTGAATATGAGAATAAGAAGATATATTTTCACAATCTCTTCTTGCCAAATAAGGATTACTTACTACCTTCATTTATCAAAAATAGCTCCTTAGGTTTAAGTGACATACAGTGTTGAATTTGGACCAGTGTTTTAGTGTTTGAAATTCCAAAAGATTTAAATGAATTTTCTAATCTCTAAAACCTTACATTATACAAATATATTCCCTTCCATGATTACTGATCATGTTAAATGCATATAACTAAGATTTTAAAATGAAATATAATACAAATGAATTTAACATATCCATTATCACATTGCTTTTATATAGGTTGGGATCTGCAGTAAAAGATAGTCAAGTATGAAAGACAGAGACTGTGTGAAAACAGGAAGAATAGCATTCACCCTAATGAAATGAGGAAATATTAGGGTCACAAAACCTCCTCTAAGTTAATTGTTGGACTCTAATTTGTAATACTTATTAAACAGATGTGTGAAATAGAGAGTGAGTTGTATGAAACTCAGGTCAGGCCTAGATGATTTGATTTACCTGCTAAGGAATATTAATAACATACAAATTTTGAGATAAAAAAGAATGAATGAACGATATTTTAGAGTCACTGTGAATCACACATTTTGTTGATGTTAGCACATAGGATTACTCAGGGTTAAGCTCTCCTTGAGACCAGTAAGAGTCACAGTGATGAGAAAGTCCAGTGTGAGCACTGGTTGCTGCTGGTTTTCAGAATCCCAGCAGACGAGGAAGATCTCTCCATCCCCACTTCTGTAACCATCTGCTTCTCTGTTGGTGTCTATGCTTCTGTCTGTCTTGATCACAACATCTATGTTTTTATCCACAGCTCTATTTCCATATGCACTTCTATATCTATACCACATCCATATTTATATTCACCTCAATATCAATTTCTAAAGTTATAGAGACACAAGCGTATACATATGCACCGCAATGCCCACAAAGACATTATACAAAACTCACAGTTATAGGCTACTTATTTTAATTCAATAATCTTCTCCTGAGAGATTTTCTTGTCTCATTTTAAAGTCCACCTCGTTATTTCTCCATGGCTCCATGTTGGATTGTTTTGAGTGAACGGTTTTCCAGCAATACTGCAATTTTTTAAAATTATGTATCTTTATTAACAGTAATACCCTGGAAATATCCTCATCTATGTATCAGTGCTACCTATATGAATGGAAATACGTATGGCAACAGATGAATTTATCTTTTTAAAAAACATTTTTTTCTCCTATTGATTTTCTCTACTGTTTTAAATCATTTGGCATGCATGCACTGGATTTCACTGGCAGTTGATTAGGTACTTGCTTCATGTGGATGAAATCTCCTCTTCCCTTTCCCCCACTGTACTTCCCCAAGTAGCCCTCTTTTCATTCACATGGCACATGCAATAGAAATCAGAATTCTGCTTTGAAGCTATATACATGCTTAAACTGACAGAGATTGTCAACATGCTTCACCAAGGGAGCACCCCCAATAGAGTATGTACCTGTAGGGAAAGCTGGTGAGTTTAAGTAAAAGTGAATATTGTTGCTAAAAAAAAAAATCGTCAAATTAAAGATGACATCACAGAGAAGCATTTGATAAAATGCAAGAAACAAGACCAATATTGAGTACAAACAAATAAAATCAAATAAATTTATTTGCTAAAATGATATTATTAACACTATATATAGGGTAACACTATAATTTAGGAAAATTGGCCAAAGGGTGAAAAAAAACCTGTGTTAAAAGAAGTCAGAACTTAAAATGACAGTTGAAATGATAATGCTCAATTTTTACTAGAAACAAAACAACCATAAATTGAACAATGTATCACATCTATATTTAAAAACAAAACCAAAACCAAGAAAGGAGACTGAGAACTCAGTGTGGTTTGTAGAAAAGAATGAAAATTGACATTTCTTAGATTGTTGGTGACAATTTTAGAAACTGCTGTGTTAATAACACCCCACAAAATTTTATTATTTTGATTTGTTTGCAAGTTATATTTTCTTCCCTAAGAATATATGATAAAATAAAATAATCATTAAAACAGTGTTTATAGAAGTGAAACACTTTTATTCTACTTAGTTAGGAAGCAAGATATCTGTGCATAGAGCTATGCAGAGTTTAGCAGTCCTTAGAAGCAGTGATAAAAATGTTTACTACACAGTAAGAGAAATATATGACTATTTGAGTGTAACTTATACATCATATATTTTAGAAGAAATGTCAACTGATTAAAAAAGGAAATGCAATGAAGTATCACTGGCGCTGGTTATGTGTGGTTGGTGGATTTCATGGTAATTATTTTGTAAATATATGCTTTGGCATGTCTGCTATCTTCTCTGGCAGAATGTATTTAAAACTGTAAGTCTGTGTACTGGAAATATCTAAGTCTTGTACAAATAACATTTAAGCTCTAGATAGTGAGGCATTTCTTTCAGTTCTGTGTGGTGAGTGGCCATTAGCACTGCCTCTTAGAGGATGCTGAGTCCTCTGGTCGTCAAGGCACTTCCTCTGGCACTTCCTGCTTTGTGTAGGTATTGTGTACATTCCAGTTCTGAGAGGCGGCAATGGCAGCCCCTCCCCTACTGGACGACACACGCGCGCGCGCGCGCGCGCGCGCGCACACACACACGTAATCTGTTTTCAACTTATAAACCATGTTCATTACTTTTAAACCTGCTGAGACACTGCCACAAATACTGGCAAACCATCACGGACTGTGTCTCGTGGCAGGGAACAGAAAAGGAGAACATTGGTGTTAAATAGGTTGCCCACCATAGAGTTGCTGAAAAGAAAACGACACTCAAAATTCCCATTACGTGATCGCTAGGCCTTTTGTAGTTTTCTAATGGTTGGACTAAACAGAATCTTATGAGCCCTGCATTAGTGAAATTAATATTTGGAAATGTGGATGATAGCATGGCTGACGATAAAGATCCCCGTGAAGGTAACTTGAGGTAGGAGTAGATCTACACTGTAACATTAGTGACCTTTCCACACACATTTTCTTACCTAGACCCCCACCAAAAAAAACCCCATAATTTTAGCATTTTTTTAATCAAACAATTTCAGATCTGCGTCATGAGTTGGAACAAAGCTTAATCAATAAACTAAATGTTTGTGAGCATTCTTGTGTAGGTACCTAGGACAGAAGCGCGTACTGGTACAAACACACTCCGGTAATGTTTGCTATACGCTTTCTCGAATGTATATTTAAAGGTGCTTGTGAAGCAATAGAATGAGGTGACTTGTTTCCTGCCCAAATATCACATCTCTACCGAGCTACCTAGTCAAAACCTCCAGGAAAACAGTATTTGCTCACATAGAAAATACCAAGTATATTTTTAATCTTTTCTTAAAATTCATTTTTACTTTATGTGTGTGGATGTTTTGCCTACGTGTGGGTCCGTACACCACATATCTGCAGTTGCCCACAGAGTCCAGAAGCAGGGGGTTGGGTCTCCTGAAATTACAGTCACAAATGGTTGTGAGCTACCACGTGGGTACTGGGATGGGAATCCAAGTCCTCTGGAAGAGCAGCTGGTGTACTTAATCATAGCGCCATCTTTCCGGCTCCCACTTTCTGTATACAGGGGCATCTTTCCTTTTGGTATTCTAACCTATGATGGGATTTCTGTATGTCTTGTTATGAGGAATAAAATCGCGTCCTAACCAGGTAATACGAGTTGTATATCATTCGACACGGACTCCTCACTGTCTTCACAGCAGAATCTTACACAATGCACTGGCTTGCCAGCATCTGGAATATTGAGCGGCTTATAAATACAGTTCCCCAGAGACCTCATCAGATTATTCAATTGCTTTTTTGAGATACCTAGCGTCGCCAATACATTACAGGCAACTTCCAGCGTTGCAGCTTTTCCATCTGGCCTGAGTTTTGTTGACTCAGTTTGCACATCTCCACATGAGGAACACTCCAGGAACTAAAAACTGTTCTCTCTTTCATTATGCATGTGGCGTGCAATGCAATTCACCACCTAACAGATGTCATAGCTAAGTACTCAGGATTGTGTCATGATTCATTCATTTTAGGAGAATCTGCTTCAGAAATGCAAGGTTTTTTATAAATTGGTAGGGCTTGGCTTCGAAGTAATATAAAATGCTGTCTGTTTATAATTTTAATTTTTTTCTTGAAACATATTACAGACTTCAGATTTTTTTTCAGGTTGTTTTCTTTTATTCCTGGTTTGGACACTTCTGTCATTGAACGAGTAATTTAAAAATCAATACTTTTAAATGAGAATGGATATTGAGGTAACTCTTGATGTTTTAAACTTTAGGTTTTGATGTCTAGGCCAATCTGGTGAACATTGCATGGCCGCCTTTCTACTGCAGGCAAGAAATTCCGGCTGCCTTGTGTTTTACATAATATTGTCATTAAACATGGTCTATCTTTAGCGGAAGAAGTGGACTATAATAAGTCAAATAGGAATTATTTGAATCTGAGGAAGAACATTTGCAAATGAGTAACTGAAATTATTATTAAAAGTAGACATACGACATTCAGATTTACACAGCCAAAGGTGGAAGGAAATGTTTAATTTTGGGGAGTAATTATCAGAGGCCTTTTCATACAAAAGCGTGTTCCATACTTCCTATTTTTGGAGGCTTATTTTCCTATGCTAGGATAAAGAACCCATAGATTCTTTGCTGCAGCTGTTTCTGGCTAGATTAATCTGAGGACTGTAACCATAAAAGGAAAAGTAGCTTAATTAAAAAATGTTAGAGCAGAATAGAATACATTTACAATAATTTCCCTTCTCTCTTTGGCTAAATGCAAGAGAGAACATCGCCCTTCTTTAAAAGGAAGCAAATCAATATCTGTGCCTTTGCAATTACCCTTGAGGTCCAAAGCTCTACGGGTGGGTGCACAAACAGAACCCATGGGTTAAAAATCACATCCCTGGGTATTTGACAAAGAAGAGAACTCCTTAAGACTCATACTTTTCTTTCTTTCCCCTTCCATAATCAAACACTGTCATTGTAATTTTCAGGCTTAAATACATAACATTTTCACCATTTTGTCTCAAAGGGATCCACATTACATTCCAAATTATCTTGAGGTCACTATGTCATATCACGCTGACGCTTGGATTGTTTATGGAATGAATGAATCCCTTTAGTCTTTGTAAAATTCTTGTGAAGCTTGGGCTAAACCCAGGAGGGGTCTTTTCTTAGTCATATCTTATGTGCTTTGCTCTCCTGTGACTTTGGAAATTGATTTCTCGTGTGCATTTCTAGAAACCCTATGGGAGATAGTTTTCTTATGATTGTGCTATCAATTGCTTTCAGTAAGTACCTGTAATGGCAGGCTATAATAGAGGAGAATACATAGTCTCAGCTAGAATAGGTAGATACTTCACATTTGATCCTCTGTTGGTAAAAGTTCTTGTTCGGCACATTTAGGAACGTATCAAGTTCTTTTCAATAGTCACAACCAGCAGAGCAACTGTATTAGATAGTGTGTTTGTGGCATTAATCACAAAGATCTATATTTCCACCATGATTTTGTTACCTTCCCTAACAATTATCTCAATTGATTTAGCATATAACCAGCCTGGTTCCATTGTGGTTCCTCTTCATAATGTCTGAGATGAATTGTGATCCAAATGTAATTTATATCAGCAGGAATTTCCCACAAAGATGAATTGTTATCTTCAGCTCTGCCCTATCTTTGGTTAAACGTCAAAGGATCTTTTTTTTTACTACTCCATGTGAAAATAATGAAACATTTAATAATGTCTAATAATACCGTGCACACAATAAAAGCAAGGACTACCCACTGTGAAGATCCCCAGAGGACAAATTAAAGGCGAAAACAAAACACACCACAAAAAAATTAACCGAGGGAATGAAACCAAACTGGACTAAGCAACAGAAGAACATTTTATTTATTTGAGCTAATTTATATTATAGGAAAATAAAGCCATCTGTGCTTATTATATAAAATCAAAAATACTTTGGTTTTTCAGTCTCTCACGAATCGATAGGAGAGGCCATTTGTTTTCTGTGCTTTTTAAGTCCCTTCTTTTGGGGCGTTAAATTCAAACCTGAAAACTGATTATGATTTAAGGGGAATTCCTTTTTTGTTTTTAGAAACATATGAGGGAAATCTCAATACTTTTTTGTGTTGTGGGAACAGTTTATTGATTTTCTTTCTTCCATAGAGAAAAAATATGCCTGTTATCCTGTGAGCAGCTTTGTAAGGAGCTTCCAGATGTAGACACAAGTGTCCAAGAAGACATCCAGTTGTTTGAAATCTCCTTTGAATTAACTCAGAAAGTCAGACACTAAAGCTACACTATCTTACCCAATACCCTAAGCTGTTTTATGGAACATGCTTTTCACAGCATTTGTAGTATAGAAGAGCTTTAACTATTTGCTAGTAGAAAATCAGCACTAAAGGCCATGTTATACCCAAAAATACTCATCAGGAGAGAAGCAATACATGACATTTGCTCTGGGCATCCTTTTTATTAGGTCAGTGTCTCTGGTCTTATGTTCTCATAGAGCACAAGTGAAGAAGAAAAAAAAAGGTGAAGTGAAGCAGCGGAGACACATGTGTTTAAAATTCACAATTTGTTTTAACAGTAAGAAGAGGAAATGGACACATACATCAGTTGCTGTTACAGATGACGCTCGCGCTATAGAAAAGAGTTAATAGGGTGTCCTTCCTCTTCGACTTGCTTCTATACTGAACAAGTTTTAGAAACCTTCTGTGTGTCTGCTCCCTCATGTGGAACATGGAAATCATAATAATACAACATGTGAATCATAATACAACATGGGAATCATAATAATACCCATTTCACAGGGTTGCTGTGGGACGCACTGAGTTCGGCTGTCTGACACCGGAGGCCGTATGATCATTTATTGATCCACATCGTTGTTTTGTTGCTTCTTTACCAAATTTCCTCCCCATGTCTATATACACGTAGCACTCACATCTTCACATACTTACAAACGGACTAGTTAATAAAGTACTATAAAAATAGATTATAAGTGTTGGTATAATAGTTCAAAAGACTGGAGAGTTCATTCATGATTGCCAACCATTTTATCTCCACCCCTTTTATTTTATTGTACTCCAGGTGATGACTAATACAAATGACAAAAACAGCTCCCTTGGTCAGATTTGCCATAGGGAAGTCACCATCGGAAGAATGAAAGAGGATGAGGTTACAACTACTACTGCTCCGCCTCCTCTCCTTTTGGAGTTTGCCAGTGAGTTGAGTTCCGTTATGTTCACTGCTAAGCCATTCCTCTTTCCTTGGCTCCCTCAACACGAGTTCCGCTCACCCTTTCTCCTTTGGGTCTAGTTTTGACAAGGCCCACTCCTGCTGGGCCCCTGTGTGTCTCGTCATATCTTCTTATGCATGCTTACGAGTTTTTGTAAATAACCTTCCTCAGAGATCCTGTTAGGATGTATAATTCCTTTTTAACTTTGGTTATGACTGAGAGAAAGTCTATTATTTAAAACAATTTAATACCTTACCCCTTATAATGTTCTAAAAACTTATAGAAGCCCATGTAAAGTAATAATGAATCCATATAAATCCCAGGTGGACAGCATAGAATATTACAATCAATACATTCCATACGGTTATGAAAATCAGAGGAACTGTGGAGCATGTACAAGTGACCTGCAAAGCAATTAGTTTTCGCTACTTTCAAACAAATGTTAACAATAATCTATACACAGTGATCCCTTGTCAACTTGACGCAAACATATCACTGCTAAGCCATAACCTTTTCTTTCTTGTTCATCCCCAAGATCACACATGAACATCAACATTACAGTATAAACATTGCAAGTTTAAAAGTCCTACAGTCTAAAAATTCAAAGACTTAAACACAGTCCTATGAGATATTCTTAAAATAAAATTCAAAGTCTTTGTAAAATTCCAGAATCTCTCTAAAAGTTCAAAGTCTCTCAACTGTGGGATCCTGTGAAAATAAGTTAGAACACACTTGTCTGGGGATCGGGGAGAACCAGGGCACAGTCACAATCAGAAGAAGGCAAAACTAGACTCCAAGAGGGTATATAACCCATTGTGTAGAATCTGCTTACCACCTTCTGGACTCCACACAAGGTCTTGGGTCACTGCTCTGACTTCTTCTGTAGCACACACAGCTTGTCTTCTAGGCTATGTCTGGCTCCATTGAAAGCAGTGAACCCCCGCCCCCCATCTTGAATTTCTTGTAAACAACTTGTTTTCCCCTGATCTGAGTGCCTACAGCTGCTCTAAGCATGAGACCATCAGGCGTTCCTGATGGCAGGGTAATGGTTTCTGGTGTGTTTGGCTGGGGCATGGCCATCCCTATATAAGCTGCCCCTGAACACAATAAAGGGGGCATTCTTGGGGCATTCTGGCATCAAGGATGACCCATGTCTCTGTCTGTGAGTCTTTGTGTGTTTTAATCTCCAGCCCCTTGCCTGGTTCACGAACCGTATGGTGACGCGTAGAGCGTAGACAGAAGCTGCATGGCTTCACTCCACTGTGGCTGCTGTTCTGGGTGGTCATCCCATGGTACTCTCATCTTCAAAATGTTGGGTTCTCTGCTGCCCTTTTCCCGGTAACTTCTCCTGGGTTTCTAAGGAGACTCCAGCCATGCAGCACAGTGTCAAAACCCCACATGCTCTCCCTGACCCCTTTATGCCTTCAAAATCAGTATCATCTGGGTGATTCTTAGACTGCCAAGTTTGGCTGCCAGCACGAGGTACAATCTTGACCACATCTAGAACACAACTTTTGTGTGTTGACTCTGAGGAAATATCTCCCAGAAGTTTTCATCTCAATGATGCTGGTCTCTTAATCGCAGCTGATTCTTCAGCCACAGCTGGGCAGCATCCATGGTCCCAGCAGAGCAAAGGTTTCACTTAAGCAGTTCTGGCCTCTTGTTGATCTCAGCTGTTGCTTCATTCCCAGCTAACTAGAACCATAGATTCTGAACTCAAAATAGAGAATGGCTATGCTAGTCATTAGCAGGTCCTCAACCTTCTCTCTCAAATGTCACAAGTCAGGCCCCCATCATCTGTATCGCTCTCAACATTACTGTCTTCCACACCCACATAGAACGGCTTGCCATGCTTTGATTACTTAACGGGTTTTCCAGCTCAAAGTTCCAAGTCTGTCTGGAATCCTCTCATAAAATATATGGCCAGGTCTGTCACAGCAATACTCACTTCTGCTGCCATTTTCAGCTCTAGTTAGGGTTCCTATAGCTGCGATGAAACACCATGACCAAAGCAACTTGGAAGGAAAGGGTTTACTTGGCTTACACTTTCAAATACCATGAAAGGAAGTCAGGACAGGAACTCAAAGAAGTCAGGAACCTGGAGGCAGGAGGTAGAGACCAAGAATTGGTGTAGCTGACTGGCTGGCTTACCATGTCTTGCTCAGCCTGCTTTATTACAGAACCTTGACCACCAGGGTCAGCACCACCCACAGTGAGTTTGACCCTCCCCATAAGTCACTATTTAAGAAAATGTCTGAGAGATGGAGCTTAAGAAGGGATTTTTCTCAACTGGAGGTTCCCACCTTTCTGGTGACTCTGGCTTGTGTTGTGTGGAATGAAAACTAACACACAGAGGGAATAAAGAGACTATTGAAGGGATTTCCTTGAGCTAGTGACTAATACATTACTGTAGCTGTGTGAAGAAGGTGTTTGCTCCAAGAGATACCTAGAATGAGTTTGATGTCCAAGAAAGTATGTTTCCCCCAGAGTACCAGTGTATTAAAGAAACATCTGTTCGGGATGGCTCTGATAACCTTGTGCCTATGTGAGGATTTGTAGGATAGATAACCTTTGGAAATACCGTTTTCTCATTCCTGACTCCCAGGAAATTAATTTATACAGTACCACAGAGTGAAAATATTAGAATCCAATTTCAAAATAACCTCATTCAGACAAACATAAAATGATCTGATTCTTTGGTTTAATTGAAACTAGATTTTGACATAATCTGAATATATATGTCCACATGAAAACAAAATTCTGAGGGAAAAAACCAGACTTTCCAAATCAATTGAAAATTCATACTTCTTCCAAATTTCAAGAATGAATTTTTTAATATAAATGTTTAACACTTGAAGTAGGTGTGTGTGTGTGTGTGTGTGTGTGTGTGTGTGTCTGTACACCAGTTCTACTCATGGCATGGCTACACTCCCAAGAAACAATGAGGTACTGGCCACATGTTTGCTGTCCTTTAATTTATGAGTCTATTTTTAAGTTGTATTTTTTGGAACTAGTATATAACTGAAAATATAACATTTCTGGTTTATAGTTGTTTGCATTTTACGGAGATGACACAAACAAAACTAAAAATTCTTTTTGCATATTTTATATAGTGAATGTAAAGATCAGCTAGCAGTAGTGAAAATTAGTGTCTTTTAGTAACATCAGCAGCTTAGAACCATTGCCAACATAATAACAGAACACCCTGGGACATGCGGTCATTTTAAAATAGCGTACACACTTCTGAATATTTAAACTAAACATGGTTTAAATATGTTTTGAAGTGGCATAATTTATTATGAAATTATTTTTAAACCAACTTAATATTATTGTGTTTTAACAAGCCAAACCAAAGCAAGAACAAAAACAAACCCCGGGCATAAAATGGGGGTTAGTGGTGGAGAGAAGAATCCTAAGTGGTTAAGAGATGTAAATAAACGAGACCCAGTGTTTTGTTGTCTGAGTTCTGTGGTTAGTACCAGTCACACAGAAGCTTTTAGGAACTGTAGGTTACATACATCCATGAGAACTATTCATAAGCCAGCATCCTTTATGGGTGCATGTGCAAAGGCTGCTTATAACTTTGCGACTTTAGGGAAGAGGGTTGCCTCTCTGAGTGGCGGCAGATTTAGTTTCTTCTGAGTTTCTATAATGTGACCCCTCCAGACACCAATGATACCCCTTAGTTTTCTACAGACATGAAGGTCGGCATATTTATTTACTCTCGGTGAAGATAATTCTAGACTCAAAAGTGGGTTTGGTGTCAGGTTTCCTGAGCTGTTTTCAGAGAAAGTGACTCAATAGGAGGCTTCAAAAATGGTTTCTCCAGCAAAGGAATTGGATAGGGTTTGGGTTTTATTAGGTCCAAACTATCCACGCATGCTTTTAGACTCTGAAGAAAATATTGGGATTTGGTTAAATCCTAAGTTAGGAAGCGAATTCATTGGCTGGGCTAAATGGACCAAAGGACTTCAGAATGATGTGAGCAGACATTTTAAAAACATAGTCTCTATTGAGAACGTGTGTGTTTTTCAAAACAAAAGAATCCTATTGTGGTGGAATATTCATAACAACACTTTACCTCTTTAGCCATTTCTAAGAATACTGTTCAGGGACATCTGGTATTTTACATGACCGTGCAGCTTGCCCCTCTCAGATGTTTATATGCCCCCAAATAGAAGCAACAGTCATTAAACAGTTCTCCTTTTACCTCCTCCTCTCGACCACAGCAACCACACACCATTGTCTGTCCCCACAAGGCTGATTCCTCTGTGGACCTCATGGAAATAGAATTATACAAAATTTGTTCATTGGTGCCCATCTTGATCCACGTAAAATGGTGTCATCAAATTTCATACCTGGTGTAGTATGTATTAGAAATTCATGACTTTTTCAAGGCTGGAAAACAGTATGTATATATATACACCCTGTTTTGTTTATTTATTAATTGGTATCTTAGGGATTTGATTGCTGCAATGAAACACCATGACCACAAGGAAGTTAGGGAGGAAAGAGCTTGTTGGACTTATCCTTCCACATCATATTTGTTACTGAAGGAAGTCAGGACAGAAACATGGAGGCAGGGGCTGATGTGCAGGCTGTAGCTTACTTTTCATTGGTTGCTCAGTCTGCTTTCTTATAGAGCCCAGGACCACCAGCCCAGGGATAACACCACCCACAATGGGTCTCCCTATCAATCGCTAATTAAGCAAACACCTTACAGCTGGATCTTCTGGAAGCATTTCCTCAGCTGAAGTTCCCTCCTTTCGGATAATCTAGCTGGTGTCAAGTTGACAGAAGGCTTTCCAGCACAGTTGGTTTGTTTCCATTTTGGGGAATGTTGCTGCTATGGATATCAGCCAGGGTAAACTCTCCGTCCAAGCCTCTGCTTCCACTTCATCTGTCTATGTATCCAGAAATAGAATTACTAGTGTTTTTGTATTAATGCTACTGGGAAAGAGCCACTCAATGAATTACCGTTTTAC